ACCGAGTGATAGAGAAGATTCATTGGTATCTATGAAAAAATGAATGAACGATTTAATTGAATGGTTGTGTTGAAGTTGAACAAGGTTGAACAAAAAAATAATATTTTATAAATATTTTATAATTAAACAATAATTAAATAATAATAAACTTACTATTATAACTCACATTAAACTGTTTATTCAACTTTATACAACATATTCATTTTTTTCATCCCGAAAAATAACCGTTTTTAATACCAAATAATAAGAAAATTACACAATTATTTATATCTTTGCCCGTTTTATTGTATAAAATCCGCTTAATATTCAATAGCTAAAACTAGTCTGGTCCCCGGTTTTTACTGTGGTCCCCGGTTAATTCTGCTATCTGTAATATAAAATTACAATTTTTATTTAACAAAAAAATAATATTGCATTTTTATGCACTATTGGTTTTTCTGTAAAAAAGGTTTGTCAGAGAGTTAATAAAATCAATTGAAGCATTATCCAAACAATCAATATTATTGAGTTTTTTTATAAATTTTATTATTAATAACAATTAAAATTTTTTAATTTTTTTAACCATTTCTTTAATAAATTTCTTTTTAAAGAAATTTGAAAAACACTTAACTTAAAAAAGTCAAATAAAGTATGCTACTTGAGCAAGTCTTTCTCAAGAATGTGGTCTTATATTTTGAGACTTTAACTGATGTTATGAACTTTCTGTTTCTCAACAAAAAGTGTTTAGAAACGGTTACTTCACTTTATGTGAACTCTTATGCGCTCACAAAACATCACAATTTCCCTCAAATTTATTTATTTTTTCCACAGATGCAAACATTTTATGTGGAAACGACACTTCAGTACATCAAAGCCAAAGACGCGCGGTGTATGCCACTTATAGAAATCAATCACTGGACAGACAAATACTTTTACCGTGACAGGAAGGACAATGTCTTCACCACGCAGTGGTTTCCTCCAAAAATTCGAAAGCTTTGTGTCTACCCACAACAAGTTATAAAAATGTTCACAAGCATCAACTTTTACACGCAACTCCAAGTCATTTCAATTGTAAAAATATTTGAAAATGTTAAAATAAAAAACACATCTTTTTTAGACACTTTAGTCATTCTTTTTAAACTTCCATCACTT